GGTTCGAATCCCGTACAGGCCTGATTTTTTTCAGGTCTGATTTTCGCTATTGCTTAAATAGCGCTATCTACTGCGAGGATCGTACATCATATGTGTTTTTACACATTTTGATATTTTTGCTCTTTTACTTCTTTTTAAGATTTAAAATTACTGTAACATAAGAACTGTAATCTCATATCTTGCCCAAAAATAAAAACTACCACTTGATGTGTAACTGAACGTGTAATCATCGAAAATGATTAAATAGTGTCACCTAAAGCGATCACCAAACTACAAAATAAGGACTGTTTCTTGTAGTGTTCAAGTATTTGAACTCAACATGGCGATCCAGAAACCAACAAGACGGTGATCTCCATCGGTATTGATTAGTAAATTTAGTCTTTAGACTTTGTAAACGAATGATAGGATCTCTGAAGCATTACATCCTTAGCTTTGTCTGCCAAAAAGGATGAAAAAGCACAGTAGATTTATTCAGACTGGTGACGAAGGATTAAGCACAAAACTTTAATGTTGCCGATGGAGAGTTCATACCAAATTAAAAGTTCGTGTTCAAAGGCAAAAGTATATCCGTTAGAATTTTTAAATAATTACCCTGTTAGACGAGAGAGAATTTTCTAGAATTCTTCAACTTACGATTAAAATCATTTGACCACAAACGATATTTAATTTTTCGCGCGTGGAAAGCTAAAAGACCGTTCAACTAACGCAAACGATAGAAAGGCACCCTCGTTAAATGCAAAATTTTTATCCTACTTACTTCAGGGGTGTCGCTAAAATCGACAGTTGCGCGTATTACGTCATTTACTAAGAACTCTTAGGCTTTTTCTTCGTATTTGTTTACTTCCGGTTTTCTCGGAAAAGGTTTCTTCATTGTCCTGCTCTTTCTCAGAAACAACGTTCTTGAACTATGGGTAAAGTTTATTTCGATGCAATAGCATTAACTATGATGTAGGAGGTTCTTGACCCAACAGTCATTGTAGAAGTGTCTCAAAGAACATCTTTGATATGGCCTCTTGTCTAGTCTGCATTGGGCGAATATTTTTCTTTGTCTTGGTAGGCCTCCAGGCCTATTCGCTAGCTTCGTATCCGGCCGAGTACAAAAACAATGATGGTCTCTATGGACTAGTCGCCCTGTACGGTCCTGCATTGGGTCTGTGGCTTTATATCATGTGCGACGACAAAAAATTACCATGGTTATTTGTTGTCTGGATGTGCTATGTCGTTAGTTTCGTAATCTTCATCGGGATCATATTTGGAGGCGACAAACCGATAGAAGATAAACTCGACAAAGCGAAATTCTTCGGTCCAAATAATCTTAAAATGACACTTTGCCTTGCCCCGGTGATTCTGTTGTTGCTTTTGAGTACTGGAACAGATTCCAGCAGGTACAGAGAAGAAATCTGGCAGATATCCCTTCGAATGGCTTTGGATCTCTTCGATGGAGTTGAAATGCTGGAAGTTATCATCGAAGAAAACGAAGTCAGCCACGGCGTTCCAAAGCCCTTTGAAAAAGCCATTCTTGCTTTTGTCTGTATCAGTTTTATCTTCTCTCCATTGCAACTAATTGAAATAAAGTTAAGAAGTTCCGCTGGACGATTTCGGCATCGATGTAGAGAGGGTTTGCGAACAGCCCTTCAGATCATCTGTGTTAATTGCGTGTTTTTGGGGCTTCGCATGTATCTTTGGCGAGGCTACGGAAAAGATGCCTCCATTTTTATCGCCAAAAATGCTATTGTAATTTGCCTTGGCTTTTTCGAGGTATGTTCAATCTTTAGATGTTGTGGTTGTGACGATTATTGAGCATAATTTTGATGAATCAGTTAGTAGAATCGGTCAGCGATCCGTGTAAACTTGACAATCAATCTGGGAGAACCATGAATAAATTTGCAACAATAATCATGAGCGCTAGCGTTTACAAATGCAGAAAGCTGTCAAGAATTTCAATTTCTCTTATACTTTCAATGATTTCAATTACTCTTATACTCTCGTCCTAACTTCAGTCTTGGATTTAGATCGACAACTTGTCTCGTTTTTTAATTAAATGTGTCTTTATCCTCTTTCTTGTAGTGTTTCTCAGTTGTGCTGCTCCTCAAGGCTCAGTTCTTAGCCCCATTATTGTTTCTCTTGTATATTAATGACATTAGTAACTGCCTCAAAATACTAGACTGTCTTTTATTTTCAAATGATGCCAATCTGTTTTATAAGCATAAAAATCTAAAAGTGCTTGAATCCATTTTGGATGATGAATTAGTTAATATCCATACCTGGTTGAGTGCTAACAAACTGTCACTCAGCATTGATAAATCTAATTTTATCATTTCTCACCCTCCACAAAGAAAATTGCCCTTTAATGTCACACTCCGTCTTAAATGGCATAAACTTAAACCAAGAGTGCTTAATAACGTATCTAGTTCTTATAATAGATTCATGGAAAAGCCCTGTAAGCTACATCGCTTAAAAGATGAAGCGAAATATTGGTATTTTTTCTAAACTTCATTATTATGTGCATTTAGACATTCTGCTCAACCTATATTATGACGTGGTTTATCCCTTCCTGACCTATGGTTTAATTTCTTGGAGTAACACCTTTTCTTCCACTATTCAGCTTTTGTTCATTTTACAACAGAGAGCAATTCGAATCATGACATTTTCTAAATTTTGTGAACATTCTAGTCCTTTAAGCGTCTAAATATTTTTAAGCTGCCTGATCTTGTCTCTCTTTACATTGCAATCTTTAGGTGCAAATTTCACAACAGACATCTACCATCTGTTTTTGTTACCTTCCTTACACAAGTCAATAAAAGACACAACTACAATACCAGAAGTGCTTTGAATATGCTCTACACTTTATCTAAAGTAAGAACAAATTATGGCATATTCAACATAAGATTTAAGGGTCCTAAAGCATGGAACTCTATAAGTGAAAACTCTAAATTCTTTTCTCTTTCAAAATTTAGGAATCAGTCAAATGTGATCTCGTTAGTGATTATTAAATGTATGTATTCATATTATCTTAGATTGCAGTTGTGTATTTTCCCAAGTTATCTGGTTGATTTTCTTTCGTTAAATTCTGTCTACCTTTCTAATCCTTGATATAAGTTGTTTTATAGCTAAATATAATATGTATATAATGTTATAATGTTATTTGTTGCCATATTTACTACTTAGTGATAATAAACGCTTTCCAAACTATTTTGTGTTTTCCAAAATACCCTATTTTTTGATAAATGAATAGTTTCCCTCTGCACGTTTAGGAAAAAATACTAAATTTAATCAAATTTTGCGGAGAAAATCTTAAAAAGATTAAAAAATCTTATTTTCCCCAGCAAGATTGAGCATGTCCGTAAAAAACTATGTGTTAAGAGTAAACCAAGGAAAGATGCAGAGGTGATCTGCAACCAATCAGTAAATGGATATTGTAGAAATTCTGCAACCAGTCACCTGATGGCAGAGAAATTCTGCAACCACTCAGTCACTAGATGTCACAGAAATTCTGCGACCACTCAGCCACTAGATGTTGCAGAAATTCTGCAACCACTCAGTCACTAGATGTCGCAGAAATTCTGCGACCACTCAACCACTAGATGTTGCAGAAATTCTGCAACCACTAAGTTACTAGATGTCGCAGAAATTCTGCAACCTCTCAGTCACTAGATGTCNTTATAAGACGAAAAATCATCAATTTAAGAAATGAATTTCCTAGGTGAGCTAAAGTTAACGAAATTTCAGAAAAAAAGCAAGAGAATCCAGGCTTTGACGAGATTCGAATCCTTACTTTCCAGATACCAGCTCGTATTCTTTTCTGCAATTTCTTCAATTGAGGCTCATCTGCAGGGATCATTTTTTTTTACTGACCTTTACTTCTATTTCATCCGAAGGATGAAAGATGTATTTTTTTTGGAATTACAAGCCTCAGCCACAGGACAAATCTGGCTAGACCACATAATTACTTTAATTTACGACGGGTGTCCTCTATTAAGCTTCGATTAACGATGCTGAAACAGTCACGTAAATAGAAAGAAAGAAAGAGATGGTAGACTACACCGTGGTCAAAGCTATGCGCAAGTGCGATGAGTAGTTGGCGCGCTTTCAGGTTGTCAGAAGCAAGATGTCTCACACGAGTGAGAAAAAGAAGAAAAAAAACACGCACACACACACACACACACACACACACACACGAACCATGGTGTTTTAGAAGCGTCTGACGTTCTTAGCAAAGCTAAAAACAGAATGGTAATGAACAGGATACACGTACTTGCATAAACTTTGTCTTCGAAAAGTCTGGACTTTTCCTTTTGTCTACTACTTTTTCCTTTTCTGTGAACGATTCACTTGTTCTTTCACTCACGCGAAACAGTCACTGTGGTTGTTTCTTAGGTTTTCCTCCCTTCTCACAGCATCCCGTGTGGCTTTACCAAGTTATAGAGCCCGGAAAAAATGTGTTCTATATTTCTTAAATAAGCTAAAAACGCTTTACAAACTATTTTGTGTCTTCCAAAATAGCCTATTTTTCGATAAATGAATAGTTTTCCTCTGCACGTTTAGGAAAAATACCAAACTTAATCAAGTTTGCAGAGAAAATATTAAAAAGATGAAAAAATCTTCTTTTCCCCTGCAAGATTGAGCATTTCCTTAAAAAAAACTATGTGTTAAGAGTAAACCATGGAAAGATGCAGAGGTAATCTGCAAGCAATCAGTAAACTGATATTGTAGAAATTCTGCAACCAGTCACCTGATGGCAGAGAAATTCTGCAACCATTCACTCACTACATGTCACAGAAATTCTGCGACCACTCAGCCACTAGATGTTGCAGAGATTCTGCAACCACTCAGTCACTAGATGTTGCAGAAATTCTGGGACCACTCAGCCACTAGATGTCGCAGAAATTCTGCGATCACTCAGTACCATGTTGTCGCAGAAATTCTGCAACCACTCAACCACTGGATGTCGCAAAACTTCTGTGATCACCCAGTCGTAAGGCTGCATTACTTGAGAGTATTCGACACCAACCGAGCCTGGTGCTTACTGTGGAAAATATTTCCGCTGGTAACTATCCGTGGATGTTTCAGAGAGATCAAAGGAAGCGAGGCGGTTTTTCTTGTTTTGCTTTCCTTCACAGGTTTCGTTCACCCCATTTCTCGCCTCTAAATTTTGTTTTAATACCCAGAAGAGGCATGTAGGCGCTGTCGAGCACGGTATACTTAAATAGTAGACCTAGGTTTGATTCTCTGCGGGATGATCTACTGAAAATGTCATTTACTTTTGTGTGTTTAGCCGCACCAGTAATTGTCAGATGAAGAAAGGAAATGAAACACTTCAGTTGCTTGAGAGTAAACGTAAAGAGAGACCGGCACGGACTCCCCATGAGGCTTTCGTGGTCGCATCACATTATCGCCTTCAAATTATATTTTTGCGCTCACAAGCATATCTTTTAAGAGACTTTCCCTTTTTTGTAAGCGATGATTTCAGCTTTTGTAAAAATTTGTTTTCAGCAAGAGCTGATTGTGTATCGTACTCCAATGTTTCATCAATATTTTTATTAAATTTCTGACTGCCTAGTGGCACGTTGTGACAAAAGGTAATAAAGGTTCGTGACTTTTTGGCTAATGTGTATGTGAAAGGGCAGCCGGATTGTTTACACCTTACAAAGACCTTCTTATGATGTTTTCTGGGTACCCTCAAGCTTTGAGGCGTTATTTTTATTTCAAAAGGCCCTCTTCAAATGCTTTTTAGAAGAGTTAGTTCTAAACAATCTTATTTCTTCGCCTTAATAAAAACATATTTTACGCCTAATGGGTGGCACGAGGCGCAGTGCGTAAATTGGAAGGTCTCGCTCGGTTTGTAATGGGTTTCGATGTGAACGTTGGGATCTTTGACCAATCTTTCCCCTTTAAACTGTAACCGTTCTCAGGATTGGAAGGAAAACGACGATTTAAAACCAAAATCTAAAGTTCATAACATGGACAAGGCTTCACAGTTAGAACACAAAAAGAACAGAAAGTGTCAAGGCAGCTTTTAAGTTGCGTCGACTGGTTCTCACACAGGAAATTTTCACAGGAAATGTCAGCTTCTTAAATTAATCTGACGGTGTAAAAAGCTTTGACGGAAATGCAGTTCATCGCGACTCTTTTCATCACTGCTTTTATTGTTCCC